ATTATCTTCCCTTCACTAATCGGCTAGGTGCGCTGGTCTGGAGGGTCCCCCATTAAACTGACTGAGCATGTCGTATGCACAATGCAAGCTGTACGTGCTACTATTACACTTACAGTTATTTAACCAGTATTGCCATCACCTTCATCAGGAATGTTCACTACTGTACATGGACTGTGCATGTCAAGTGTCACGTCCTTCCGTGATTCCATGATACATCATGGCCCAAATCCACGAAACGTTCGTAGCGCTACAACATTCGCAAGCCTTTAATAAACTGAAGGGTTACGACAGGTCGTAACGTCACAAACGCTTTGTGGACCGAGACCCAGGGCCAGTCATGATTGCTAATACTGCTATAATCTCACATAATTACGAAACTATGCACCTTTGATACCAGATGGTGGGTAACCAGCCTACTTGTGATAGGTCTGATTGAGGTCACTTTGGGTGACAAACATCGACTACAACATGTCGAGTTAGTTATTGAGTGTCTGTCATTACAGATTAACTTCATCTCAACTGATTACAAAAATCTTGACTTTTCACGAATCGATCCAAAATTTAAAAAGTCTTCAGCCATGTTTGATTATTTGACCTCCACTGACATTGAGTGAGTGAGTGAGCACCCAGCAATATTCCATCCATATGGCGGCGGTCTGTAAATAATCCAGTCTGGGCCATACAATCCAGTGATCAACAACATGAACATCGTTCTGCGCAATTTGGAACCGATGACATGTGTCAACCAAGTCAGCGAGCCTGACCACCCCATCCCATTAGTCGCCTTTTGTGGCAAGCATGGGTTGCTGAAGACCTATTCTACCCCAGATCTTCACGGGTCAGATTTTGCATTGTATTCGATACTGTTTAAAGGTACTGTTTACACATGAAGTGATGTATTGTAAAACAAATTTGTAACGTTGAAAAGATTATTGACATGAGTTCAATAAATGATGAAACTTAGTGAAAATTGGCGAATTCTTAACCAAACTTTACACCACAACGCAGCTGTTCACATGCACTATATTTGCACATCTTTTCAGCAAGTTGATGCATGATCCTCGTGCATTTCATCTGCATAAGGTTTGCAGTTGGTTCCCCCAAGTTAGTGGAGTAATTCATCTTCCATGCTTTAAGTGAATCTAAACGTTTGATGGGTAGTATACATGACATGTGAGTTTTGACTGACTGACTGAGTTTAGTTTTACGCCGCTTTTAGCAATATTCCAGCAATATCACGGCGGGGACACCAGAAATTGGCTTAACACATTGTGCCCATGTGGGGAATCGAACCCGGGTCTTCGGCGTGACGAGCCAACGCTTTAACCACTAAGCTACCCCACCGCCCCTGTGAGTTTTGAGCTAATACCATGTAACCCTCTTGCAACTATTGTTACAGCGTATATTGTTACATGTCGATTCCCAAGTGGAAACAATATGTTAACTGGAAACGGCTCAATTTAAGGACTTAGAACTTGCACTGGTGCAACCTGAAATGGCAGCCTCATTTATACCAATGTATAGTTTCCTGTTTAGACCAGACCAATTGTGTTTCTTGTTTTACAGTTTTTTGTCCTCAGAAAACCTTAAGTCGGGAGGTGAAAAAAACATTACCAGTCAAAGTAATATTCCTTATAAATACTGTAAGTATTTTACTTTTGGCAAAAAACAATCTAAAAAAGAATTTCTTGTAAGTTTACATTTTTGGTCAATAGAAACACTAGGATTTTATTGTTTGAGGGGAAAAATAATTACTTTTTTTTTTCTTACTGATGACTGATGACTTCACAGACGCTCTTTGAATGGCCGAAATGTGTTATAAAGTAAGAAAACAATCTTATGTCCAGAGTAATGTTGATGTTCAAAATCATCACTACCAAAGCTCAAGCATTATGTAAAGTTTATGTTGAGCAGCAGGTGCAACCTGGGGGGTTTTCAGGTGCAACAAGGCCATTACCTAAGGTTGCACTGGGTGCAAGTATGCTTCATATTCTTAAATCAAGACCCAGAAAATCAATCTATTGAACTTGGTTTAAAAAACAAACAAAGAAATGATATAATTATCAACTATATTCCAAAAAAAACTAGGTCTACAAATCAACAGCAATCATGTCAAAGGAATTACAATGACAGAATAAGATATACAGGTAGTACAAATACAATGACAGAATAAGATATACAGGTAGTACAAATACAATGACAGAATAAGATGTACAGGTAGTACAAATACAATGACAGAATAAGATGTACATGTAGTACAAATACAATGACAGAATAAGATGTACAGGTAGTACAAATACAATGACAGAATAAGATATACAGGTAGTACAAATACAATGACAGAATAAGATGTACAGGTAATACAAATACAATGACAGAATAAGATGTACAGGTAGTACAAATATAATGACAGAATAAGATGTACAGGTATTACAAATACAATGACAGAATAAGATGTACAGGTAGTACAAATACAATGACAGAATAAGATGTACAGGTAGTACAAATACAAGACAGAATAAGATGTACAGGTAGTACAATTACAGAATAACATACTGGCAGTAGAAATACAATGATATCATAATATACAAGCACTGATTGAATATTAACTGAAACAATGTAATACAGATACACCACTGTTCTACAATGACTGAGTGAGTAATGTTTAATGATGCTTTTAGCATTATTCCAGCAATATCGCGGCAAGGGACACAAGAAATGGGCTTCACACATTGTACCCACGTGGGGAATCGAACCCGGGTCTTCGGCATGACGAGCAAACGCTTTAACCACTAGGCTACCCCACCACCCTTTCCACAATGAAAAACATGTCTGATATCAGGTAACAAAACATCCCGAGGGCCATTGTTGGCTTCCATTCAGAACTGTCTGTTTACATTCAGAATTGGGGTTAGAGTCATCACACACAAGAAGACAGAAACCCCCTGATTGGCTTGTCAGAAAGTTAACCTAATGGAATATAATGAAGAGTACAAAGGTATTAAATTGAAGTACCAGACATAAACTGGTTGTTCAAATCCTATACTGTGATGATTGCATTTTGGATTCTGATAGCCTTGACCTTTCATGAAGGTGACTCCGATGTTGACTACTTTGGTGAAACCCGGGTGTGGTCCAGACACACCAACAAACATAATGAGGGCAGATTCAAACCCACCTTCGTAGGTTTCAGGCATGTCTATGAGATAAGAAATAGATCTACCAATGATTTATTCAGTTTCAAAGCTATATATCCAGAGGCCATGATTAAATGTCTGAATTCTGAGTTAAAAATGAGCTGGTCAGGATATTTAACTTTGAACATTTTCAGATATATTTGTAAAGCACCACAACAACACAAACTTTTTAAAAATCTTTGGGGATACTTAAAATTAAATGATTACAGAAATACAAAGAGGTGTCCAGTGATGGTAATGGACAAACGAAAAAACAAGACAAAGTCATCAATATCCCCCACAATGGCAAAACTCTCTTCATGAATATGTTAACTACTAGTTACGACGATGTCAAATGTTTTGACATATATATAGCAGTGAGTAAGTAAGTTTTATGCCACATTCAGCAATATTCCAGCTACAAGGCAGCGGTCTAAATAATAGATTCTGGACCAGATAATCCAGTGATCAACAGCATGAGCATCGATCTACACAAATAGGATACAATGATATGTGTCAACCAAGTCAGTGACTATATTGCGAAGTGGAAGGAGAGTATTGAAAGGTTTTAAAGTTCTGTTCCAGAAGTCATACTTATTGCCGTGCAAATGCAAAAAATATTTTATTCAGAAATCCAAACTACAAAAATGCACCATTACACCACCAGACCTATCTATGTGCCAAGTTTGGTGAAGATATATTGAACAGTTTTAAAGTTCTGCTCCGGAAAAGAGCACCAATGCAAATTTCAAAGTCAAACTTGTTGCCATGGAAACGGAAAAATACTAGTATTATAATCAGATATCCAAAGTACAAAAAGGCACCAGTTCACCACCAGACCTATCTATGTGCCAAGAGTGGTGACGAAATATTGAGCGGTTTTAAAGTTCTGTTCCGGAAAAGACAAATGTGCACGGATGGACGGATGGAGTGCATCTTAATACCCCCCGTAAAATGCGTTGCGGGGGATAATGAAGGGCAAGGTGACACAGGATATCAACATGTTGACCATGTTGTGTTTTGGTTCTGAAACCATTCAATCTCTGGTCTTTTTTACAAACATACACCCATTTCACAAAGCGATCATAAGGCTAAGGTGATTGTAACTCCCATACTTTAACATAGACTTACGACCGTCGTAGCGCTAAGATGATCGTAACTCCCATACTTTAACATAGACTTACGACAGTCATAGTGCTAAGGTGATTGTGACTCCCATACTTCAACATAGACTTACGACAGTCATAGTGCTGAGGTGATCATGACTCCCATACTTCAACATAGACTTACGACAGTCGTAGTGCTGAGGTGACCGTGACTCCCTCACTTCAACATAGACTTACGACAGTCATAGTGCTAAGATGATCGTGACTCCCATACTTTAACATAGACTTACAACAGTCGTAGCGCTATAATCGTTTTGTGAAACGGGCCCCTGATCTTTCACCGTGACGCTTACATTTCAGGATCCAATGTTTATTGGGGAGAATATATCTTGGCTCAAGGATTTGATAATTGCAATGAAGATTTTAAAAATTAACAGACATAATACAAGGTCAATAAAGAACATATTTAAGTAAGTTTCCATCCAACAGTACAGCAGCTCATGCCCGCTTACCCAGCAGATTAGGGGGATTTACAGCAATGCTTGGTTGACTGTGGACATGTTGAGCCTCCCCTTGAAATATGTTCCAGGTCAGACAGCCGGCCAGGGGATTAGTGCTTAGGGCTCACCTGTTGAGGGAGCTGGCTTACAAGTGTTCACCACCTACAGCCAAAGTGACATGACAGCAGACACCATTATTCCTCTAATTTATTGTATGTTCAATTACACTCCAGCTGTGTGGGAAAAATGTGGTTTAGTGACATGATACAAGGACAACAGTGATGTTGGGCTGTTGGTGAGGATAGCTATGGCCCTTCCACCGGTTCCTGTGCACACTGTCTGTAACGTGTGGTTCCATGCCCCAGAAGATGCACCACCCCATGACAGCAGCTTCACCAACTACGTGACAACCTAATGGGTGGAGGGTGAACAACCATGTAGAGGGGCGACACAGAAAGCTGGATGTGTTGATGGAGAGCCACCCCAACATCTACAACATCTACAAAATCATAGATCGAATCCTGTATTTTTCAACTGCAAGGTGGTGCCAGGCCACCAAATAGAACACATAGATACATTCAACATTTCCATTGACGATCCTGTTTCGCGCCTTAACGGCGTGTTAATGTCAACTTGTGATGAAACCGTAAAAAAATGGTGATAATTTACACCTTTTTCTTCTTTGCTGGGGGACCAAATCTCAAAGGAACACCCTTTGTTCCTGGGATTACATTGTTTCAATGATCTGGCACCTTAGAACAATAGCTGCTGGGTAAGCAGGAAGACCCCCATCTAATTACTGGAGCATCTGCTCTGTTCAGTAATCACAACAGTACAACATCTAACTACTGGAGCACCTGCTCTGTTCAGTAATCACAAAAGTACAACATCTAACTACTGGAGCACCTGCTCTGTTCAGTAATCACAACAGTACAACATCTATCTACTGGAGCACCTGCTCTGTTCAGTAATCACAACAGTACAAAATCTAACTACTGGAGCACCTGCTCTGTTCAGTAATCACAACAGTACAACATCTAACTACTGGAGCACTGCTCTGTTCAGTAATCACAACAGTGACTGACTGAGTTATGTTTTACGCCGCTTTTAGCAATATTCCAGCAATATCACGGCGGGGGACACCAGAAATGAGCTTCATTCATTGTACCCATGTGGGGATTCGAACCCGGGTCTTCAGCGTGACGAGCTAACGCTTTAACCACTAGACTACCCCACCGCCCCCAGTAATAAAACGACAAGGACAGCCAAAATATGTAAAGGACAAGATAGATGCTGTCAAACTCATCGTTAAGTACATCAAAGTGACCAGCATCAAAAGTCAACATCCCGTGATGACTAACATATTACATTAAATCTACCTCTTATAACGACCAAATTATTGGTTAACTTTTTAAGATAATACTACTTGGCTAAAATATGGCTTACAAACTGTTTTGTGAACACATAACATTTTTGTATTATCTGCACCTCTCCTTTTCCCCAAACCTGTACCCCCGCTACAAACAGAAGCATGTGGAAGAACAGCCCTGTGGATGGTAAACAGTTCATAGATAACTGGTCACTGTAAGATGCCCTCCCATCTCAGCTACACTTACGATGTCCTCTTTACTGTCTGTCAAAAGTCTCAGGTCAGCTTTGTGCTGTATTAGGAGGTCAAACACATCTTTATGTCCATAGAAGGCAGCCGTCAATACAGGCGTGTATCCAAGTCTCCCTCTACTGTTGATGTTAGAGGGAGACAGGAGGTGTTGTACTATAGCAGTGTTCCCACCCTGACAGGCAAGATGAAGTAAACTATCACCAGATGTATCAACCAGTGTCGGGTCAGCTTGGTTTGACACAAGGAGGTCAAACACACTTTGATGTCCAGTGACAGCTGCCTTCATCAGTGGCGTCCTGCCATGCATCCCTCTACTGTTGATGTTAGAGGGAGACAGGAGGTGTTGAACTATAGCAGTGTTCCCACCACGACAGGCAAGATGAAGTAAACTATCACCATATGTAGACACCAGTGTCAGGTCAGCGTGCTTGGACACAAGGAGGTCAAACACACTTTGATGTCCATTGATAGCTGCCTTCATTGCCGGAGTCAAGCCATGTTGTCCTCTACTGTTGATGTTAAAAGGAGACAGGAGGTGTTGTACTATAGCAGTGTTCCCACCCTGACAGGCAAGATGAAGTAAACTATCACCAGATGTAGACACTAGTGTCAGGTCAGCTTGGTTGGACACAAGGAGGTCAAACACACTTTGATGTCCACTGACAGCTGCCACCATGGCAGGCGTCCTTCCAAGCTGACCTCTACTGTTGATGTTAGAAGGAGACAGGAGGTGTTGTACTATAGCAGTGTTCCCACCCTGACAGGCAAGATGAAGTAAACTATCACCAGATGTAGACACCAGTGCCAGGTCAGCTTGGTTTGACACAAGGAGGTCAAACACACTTTGATGTCCACTGACAGCTGCCATCATCGCTGGCGTCCTTCCAAGCTGACCTCTACTGTTGATGTTAGAAGGAGACAGGAGGTGTTGTACTATAGCAGTGTTCCCACCCTGACAGGCAAGATGAAGTAAACTATCACCATATGTAGACACCAGTGTCAGGTCAGCATGGTTGGACACAAGGAGGTCAAACACACACTTTGATGTCCAGTGACAGCTGCCATCATCAGTGGCGTCCTGCCATACTCACCTCTACTGTTGATGTTAGAGGGAGACAGGAGGTGTTGTACTATAGCAGTGTTCCCACCACGACAGGCAAGATGAAGTAAACTATCACCAGATGTATCAACCAGTGTCGGGTCAGCTTGGTTGGACACAAGGAGGTCAAACACACTTTGATGTCCAGTGACAGCTGCCTTCATCAGTGGCGTCCTGCCATGCATCCCTCTACTGTTGATGTTAGAGGGAGACAGGAGGTGTTGAACTATAGCAGTGTTCCCACCACGACAGGCAAGATGAAGTAAACTATCACCAGATGTAGACACCAGTGCCAGGTCAGCTTGGTTGGACACAAGGAGGTCAAACACACTTTGATGTCCACTGACAGCTGCTATCATCGCTGGCGTCCTTCCAAGCTGACCTCTACTGTTGATGTTAGAAGGAGACAGGAGGTGTTGTACTATAGCAGTGTTCCCACCACGACAGGCAAGATGAAGTAAACTATCACCAGATGTAGACACCAGTGTCAGGTCAGCTTGGTTGGACACAAGGAGGTCAAACACACTTTGATGTCCACCGACAGCTGCCATCATCGCTGGCGTCCTTCCAAGCTGACCTCTACTGTTGATGTTAGAAGGAGACAGGAGGTGTTGTACTATAGCAGTGTTTCCACCCTGACAGGCAAGATGAAGTAAACTATCACCATATGTAGACACCAGTGTCAGGTCAGCTTGGATGGACACAAGGAGGTCAAACACACTTTGATGTCCACTGACAGCTGCCACCATGGCAGGCGTCCTTCCAAGCTGACCTCTACTGTTGATGTTAGAGGGAGACAGGAGGTGTTGAACTATAGCAGTGTTCCCACCACGACAGGCAAGATGAAGTAAACTATCACCAGATGTAGCCACCAGTGTCAGGTCAGCGTGCTTGGACACAAGGAGGTCAAACACACTTTGATGTCCATTGATAGCTGCCTTCATTGCCGGAGTCAAGCCATGTTGTCCTCTACTGTTGATGTTAAAAGGAGACAGGAGGTGTTGTACTATAGCAGTGTTCCCACCCTGACAGGCAAGATGAAGTAAACTATCACCAGATGTAGACACTAGTGTCAGGTCAGCTTGGTTGGACACAAGGAGGTCAAACACACTTTGATGTCCACTGACAGCTGCCACCATGGCAGGCGTCCTTCCAAGCTGACCTCTACTGTTGATGTTAGAAGGAGACAGGAGGTGTTGTACTATAGCAGTGTTCCCACCCTGACAGGCAAGATGAAGTAAACTATCACCAGATGTAGACACCAGTGCCAGGTCAGCTTGGTTGGACACAAGGAGGTCAAACACACTTTGATGTCCACTGACAGCTGCCATCATCGCTGGCGTCCTTCCAAGCTGACCTCTACTGTTGATGTTAGAAGGAGACAGGAGGTGTTGTACTATAGCAGTGTTCCCACCCTGACAGGCAAGATGAAGTAAACTATCACCATATGTAGACACCAGTGTCAGGTCAGCATGGTTGGACACAAGGAGGTCAAACACACTTTGATGTCCAGTGACAGCTGCCATCATCAGTGGCGTCCTGCCATACTCACCTCTACTGTTGATGTTAGAGGGAGACAGGAGGTGTTGTACTATAGCAGTGTTCCCACCACGACAGGCAAGATGAAGTAAACTATCACCAGATGTATCAACCAGTGTCGGGTCAGCTTGGTTGGACACAAGGAGGTCAAACACACTTTGATGTCCAGTGACAGCTGCCTTCATCAGTGGCGTCCTGCCATGCATCCCTCTACTGTTGATGTTAGAGGGAGACAGGAGGTGTTGAACTATAGCAGTGTTCCCACCACGACAGGCAAGATGAAGTAAACTATCACCAGATGTAGACACCAGTGCCAGGTCAGCTTGGTTGGACACAAGGAGGTCAAACACACTTTGATGTCCACTGACAGCTGCTATCATCGCTGGCGTCCTTCCAAGCTGACCTCTACTGTTGATGTTAGAAGGAGACAGGAGGTGTTGTACTATAGCAGTGTTCCCACCACGACAGGCAAGATGAAGTAAACTATCACCAGATGTAGACACCAGTGTCAGGTCAGCTTGGTTGGACACAAGGAGGTCAAACACACTTTGATGTCCACCGACAGCTGCCATCATCGCTGGCGTCCTTCCAAGCTGACCTCTACTGTTGATGTTAGAAGGAGACAGGAGGTGTTGTACTATAGCAGTGTTTCCACCCTGACAGGCAAGATGAAGTAAACTATCACCATATGTAGACACCAGTGTCAGGTCAGCTTGGATGGACACAAGGAGGTCAAACACACTTTGATGTCCACTGACAGCTGCCACCATGGCAGGCGTCCTTCCAAGCTGACCTCTACTGTTGATGTTAGAAGGAGACAGGAGGTGTTGTACTATAGCAGTGTTCCCACCCTGACAGGCAAGATGAAGTAAACTATCACCAGATGTAGACACCAGTGCCAGGTCAGCTTGGTTGGACACAAGGAGGTCAAACACACTTTGATGTCCACCGACAGCTGCCATCATCGCTGGCGTCCTGCCATGCATCCCTCTACTGTTGATGTTAGAAGGAGACAGGAGGTGTTGTACTATAGCAGTGTTCCCACCCTGACAGGCAAGATGAAGTAAACTATCACCATATGTAGACACCAGTGTCAGGTCAGCATGGTTTGACACAAGGAGGTCAAACACACTTTGATGTCCACTGGCAGCTGCCATCATCGCTGGCGTCCTTCCAAGCTGACCTCTACTGTTGATGTTAGAAGGAGACAGGAGGTGTTGTACTATAGCAGTGTTCCCACCCTGACAGGCAAGATGAAGTAAACTATCACCAGATGTATCAACCAGTGTCGGGTCAGCTTGGTTTGACACAAGGAGGTCAAACACACTTTGATGTCCATTGACAGCTGCCTTCATCAGTGGCGTCCAGCCATACTCACCTCTACTGTTGATGTTAGAGGGAGACAGGAGGTGTTGTACTATAGCAGTGTTCCCACCCTGACAGGCAAGATGAAGTAAACTATCACCAGATGTATCAACCAGTGTCGGGTCAGCTTGGTTTGACACAAGGAGGTCAAACACACTTTGATGTCCAGTGACAGCTGCCTTCATCAGTGGCGTCCTGCCATGCATCCCTCTACTGTTGATGTTAGAGGGAGACAGGAGGTGTTGAACTATAGCAGTGTTCCCACCACGACAGGCAAGATGAAGTAAACTATCACCAGATGTAGACACCAGTGTCAGGTCAGCTTGGTTGGACACAAGGAGGTCAAACACACTTTGATGTCCACTGACAGCTGCCTTCATCACTGCCGTCCAACCATACATCCCTCTACTGTTGATGTTAGAGGGAGACAGGAGGTGTTGTACTATAGCAGTGTTTCCACCCTGACAGGCAAGATGAAGTAAACTATCACCATATGTAGACACCAGTGTCAGGTCAGCTTGGTTTGACACAAGGAGGTCAAACACACTTTGATGTCCATTGACAGCTGCCTTCATCAGTGGCGTCCAGCCATACTCACCTCTACTGTTGATGTTAGAGGGAGACAGGAGGTGTTGTACTATAGCAGTGTTCCCACCCTGACAGGCAAGATGAAGTAAACTATCACCAGATGTATCAACCAGTGTCGGGTCAGCTTGGTTTGACACAAGGAGGTCAAACACACTTTGATGTCCAGTGACAGCTGCCTTCATCAGTGGCGTCCTGCCATGCATCCCTCTACTGTTGATGTTAGAGGGAGACAGGAGGTGTTGAACTATAGCAGTGTTCCCACCACGACAGGCAAGATGAAGTAAACTATTACCATATGTAGACACCAGTGTCAGGTCAGCTTGGTTGGACACAAGGAGGTCAAACACACTTTGATGTCCATTGACAGCTGCCTTCATCACTGCCGTCCAACCATACATCCCTCTACTGTTGATGTTAGAGGGAGACAGGAGGTGTTGAACTATAGCAGTGTTCCCACCACGACAGGCAAGATGAAGTAAACTATCACCATATGTAGACACCAGTGTCAGGTCAGCTTGGTTGGACACAAGGAGGTCAAACACACTTTGATGTCCATTGACAGCTGCCTTCATCAGTGGCGTCCAGCCATACTCACCTCTACTGTTGATGTTAGAGGGAGACAGGAGGTGTTGTACTATAGCAGTGTTCCCACCCTGACAGGCAAGATGAAGTAAACTATCACCAGGTGTAGACACCAGTGTCAGGTCAGCTTGGTTGGACACAAGGAGGTCAAACACACTTTGATGTCCATTGACAGCTGCCTTCATCAGTGGCGTCCAGCCATGCATCCCTCTACTGTTGATGTTAGAGGGAGACAGGAGGTGTTGTACTATAGCAGTGTTCCCACCACGACAGGCAAGATGAAGTAAACTATCACCAGATGTATCAACCAGTGTCGGGTCAGCTTGGTTTGACACAAGGAGGTCAAACACACTTTGATGTCCAGTGACAGCTGCCTTCATCAGTGGCGTCCTGCCATGCATCCCTCTACTGTTGATGTTAGAGGGAGACAGGAGGTGTTGAACTATAGCAGTGTTCCCACCACGACAGGCAAGATGAAGTAAACTATCACCATATGTAGACACCAGTGTCAGGTCAGCTTGGTTGGACACAAGGAGGTCAAACACACTTTGATGTCCATTGACAGCTGCCTCCATCACTGCCGTCCAACCATACATCCCTCTACTGTTGATGTTAGAGGGAGACAGGAGGTGTTGAACTATAGCAGTGTTCCCACCACGACAGGCAAGATGAAGTAAACTATCACCAGATGTAGACACCAGTGTCAGGTCAGCTTGGTTGGACACAAGGAGGTCAAACACACTTTGATGTCCAGTGACAGCTGCCTTCATCAGTGGCGTCCAGCCATACTCACCTCTACTGTTGATGTTAGAGGGAGACAGGAGCTGTTGTACTATAGCAGTGTTCCCACCCTGACAGGCAAGATGAAGTAAACTATCACCAGATGTATCAACCAGTGTCGGGTCAGCTTGGTTTGACACAAGGAGGTCAAACACACTTTGATGTCCAGTGACAGCTGCCTTCATCAGTGGCGTCCTGCCATGCATCCCTCTACTGTTGATGTTAGAGGGAGACAGGAGGTGTTGAACTATAGCAGTGTTCCCACCACGACAGGCAAGATGAAGTAAACTATCACCATATGTAGACACCAGTGTCAGGTCAGCTTGGTTGGACACAAGGAGGTCAAACACACTTTGATGTCCATTGACAGCTGCCTTCATCACTGCCGTCCAACCATACATCCCTCTACTGTTGATGTTAGAGGGAGACAGGAGGTGTTGAACTATAGCAGTGTTCCCACCACGACAGGCAAGATGAAGTAAACTATCACCAGATGTAGACACCAGTGTCAGGTCAGCTTGGATGGACACAAGGAGGTCAAACACACTTTGATGTCCACTGACAGCTGCCACCATTACTGGTGTCCAGCCATACTCACCTCTACTGTTGATGTTAGAGGGAGACAGGAGGTGTTGTACTATAGCAGTGTTCCCACCCCGACAGGCAAGATGAATAATTCCATAGCAATATTTATCTTTCACATTCAAGTCTGATATTTTCCGTAGTAACTCAAAACAACCATCTGATGCTGAAAGTGCTGTAACCATGACAGGGGTTCGGCCATTCACATCAGCAGAGTTTATAACATTATCTCCAGGTTTCCTGTTTAACAGGATTTTCAGGGATGTTTCCATTCCTGTCTTACAAACCAGATGGAAGATGTTTTGAAAGTCCTTGTCTCTCGTGTTAACATCAGCACCTTCTTGGAACAGATACACTAGAATATCAGAGCTGCCATTTTCCGCAGCATGCAACAAGAGTCTGTTCAGTGTCAATTGTTGAACTGGTTTTTCAGAGCGAGTGAAGAGCCATTTCAATACTGTCACATTGTTGCTTTGTGCACACCCTCCCATAGCTTGACTGATCTCCTCTTGAGAGAACTCTTCTCCAGTTGTGTGTTCAATATCTGTAACTAGAAGTGCATTATGTCCAAGAACTGCCCAGTACAGAAAACATTTTCTTTTCTCTCTCCTGTGAAACCAAAGTTCATCTTTAGAATCAGTTTGATTATGCGGATGGTGGTGCTTTGTCCCATCACACTGAAGTTTGTTGAGCAGTTTTAAAGCTGTTGTGTCTCGTTTGAGAACTGGATGTGTCACTGATTGAGAAAACTTTCCTTGTTTAATAGAATGTGCAAACCTTGTGGTAAGTAGGTCATCATAATTATCTGAGACATATATCAGATGGAGATGATCATCAACTTGAGTTTCTTCAACCTTTTCACCTTGTACTCTTTCAAACAGAAAGTCATCACCACAGTTCTTCAAAACAAAGACTGGACTGATATTGTACAAGGCACAGGCACAAGCATCATAGATTGAAGAATGGGCAAAGCCAACAGTGTCTCCTCTAGTGAAGAATGTACCTCTGAGACTTTTAGCTGCTTTGTACATGTCTGAACGTGTAGCATTTGGCATCAGGTCTTGAACAGTTTTGACCATCCTGTCCATTTCCTTGTCTTCATCTCCACTGTCTAACCTGGTCAGGTTCAATTTGTCTTCACACAGCAGCATCAGAACCAATATGGCCGATCTATCATTTCTATCTTCAAGTAACTGCTTTAGTTCTAACCTAAGATAAAATAGTGGTTCCTTAAAAAATAAATTTGCATTTTTAAAGAAAGAGGAAAATTCAAAACAAAGTTTACAAATGAGAGGAAATCCAAAAATGTTGGAACAGATTTCCAGCTCATTGTAATCTGGAATATGTTGCACAGAGCTGTCACCAAAGGCACGTTTATGTTGTTCATATATTGACTTTTTCTCTTTGTCAGAAAGCCTGTATTGTTCTTGTTTTGTTAAGTCCACTACTGTCTGACCCTTGAACAATTTGAAACCCTCATACTGCAGTTTTGCAAGTCCATCATGGAAATTGTATGATTTTGATGTGAAGACAACATGAATATCCTTTGTTTGAGATTCTTTTAAATGTTGCATTTTCTTTCTGGATTCTTCAACAGGATCATTGTTTTCACTCAATTCTGACCGTTTTTCTTCTGCTTTTTGCTTTTGTTTTACTTGTGGGAGAAGATTATTGAGAAAGTTTTTAACCTGTGAAGTATTAGCAGATACTCCAACTGTACCAAACAAATCATCCACAATGAGGAATACTTTTGAGTACGTACTAAGACAGCGGTCAAAGTCAAACTTCTTAAGGCTGTCCACAAACACGACTTCGTACCCCTTTTGTCTATACCTTGAACCCAGCATCAGAGCCATTGTTGTCTTGCCCTCTCCTGAAGCACCACAGATAGTCACATGACCAAATTCCTTCAATTTCTGTTTCACTTTTCTGTAGGCTTCAGTTGGAGCAAAAATCTTCCTTGCTTCATCTGTGCGTAAATCAAGGGTATCTGAAGGAATACAAAAACTGTTTACCACACCAAGAAATACTAGGATGTTCACATAAAATGACAAAATATTTACCTATTTCATTGTGGTTGGAACCTTTTAGTCTTAATGACTGGAGATAGCTTCATCTAGAACGCTGCCACAGTACTTTCAACTGAACACCTCTGTATTCTGACAAATGATTATGATTGTTGCACTGGTACGTGCTGCAGAACAAATATAGCGAAACAAGAAGACATTTTCATAAATATCCCCTGCCAGTGTTCTGTTCCTATTAGCTCTGGGTGTTTTAACCCCACCACGACATACATGTCCTGAAAACACATACATTTGGTTTCCCTATTTATTTGTATGACAGTTACTGAGAATTTCTGTTCCCATTGGGGATACCATGCACCGTCAAGTAAAAATGACAAGGGCCATAACTCTGTAACAAATTGTAACACAGTTTCCATTTTCAAAGTCCATCAAGGCATTCATGTCCTGAAAACACATGCCGAAGTTGGTTTCCCTATCTATAACGGTTTGAGAAAATCTGTCCCCATCATCTCGGATATATGGACGGAGCTCAAATCTATATCCCCCTTCCACTTCAAGGCGGGAGATAATAAACACAGCTTGTGTGACAACTGTCTTCATTCATTGTTCCTAGGTAACCATACACAACATTATTCATTAAGAACTGAATGTC